CGTGGCGAGTAGAAAAGATATACCCCCAAAGGGGTATGACCGAAGACGAAGAGGGTGGGTATCGAGGGTTTGGGATTTACATATTGAGTGACGCGCGCGCATATAAGAGCGATCAGTCTTAAGATGATTGTTGTTGTTGTTGTTGTTGTTGAACATTATTACTTCTAAAGAATAATTATTGTTGGGGCCCCTGGTGCACGACCCCCCCGCCGCGCCTAGGCCGCAGCCACATTTTCATCATTTTCGTGAGGAAGTCTCAGGCAAAACGGGTTGTCCGGATCCGGTTGTTTTGTTACGGCCCGCTTTCCCTTGCAAAAAATAAGCTAAAGTGGACATTTCTTGTTCTAACATAACCAAACTTCAAGAATCCCTTGCAAAAAATAAGGTAAAGTGGACATTCGCGCGCGCAAGACGAAATCCTTCCAAAACCTTAGTGTTCGTAGCGATTTTAACATAACAACATCAAAAAACCAATGGTTTTTCAACAAAAAAATGTCAAAATCTCATCCCGCGCGCTCTTGCGGATTCGTAGGAAACCCAACACTTTTTAAACATTTCTGTCAAACGGGCTTTTGCGAGCAACTTTTTCGAACTTCTGCGACAACGGTTGCGCACCTGCCAGGGCCATCATCCCTGTCAAATAATACCATGCGGGACACATTCGTTTTTTCTTCGCGCGCGCACGCCGTCGTCGTCGGCCGCGGGGCCCTGAATAGTAGCCACGGTCGTCCGCATGCCACGAAGTGAAGTGTCCGAACGTCATAGGGCGGGAAGCTGGGTGTGGGTGGTGGCGAAGAGTCGTTTGGAAATTTGGTAGAGCTTGAACCGGCCCCCCCACAAAGTGGGGGTATTGCCCGCCTCCTATGAAAACCCTGGCACTGGTGAGAACGGAGTGTCCCCACGTGCTAGTAATTGTTGTTGTTGTTGTTGTTGTTGTTGTTGTTGTTGTTGTTGTTGTTGTGGTTGTGGTTGTGGTTGTGGTTGTGGTTGTGGTTGTGGTTGTTGCTGTTGCTGCTGCTGCTGCTGTTGTTGTTGTTGCTGCTGAATGTTAATTACTGAACAATTGTTATTGCTGGACATCTTAAAGGCGCTCTAGCCCTCTCGCCGAGGTACCGGCTACATTTTCATTGAAAATGATGCTCACGCTCGAGCGGTTTGGGGGACCGCCAAAACGGGCCCCCCAACAGCAACAACGCTCCCGCTCGAGAGTCTCTCCTTTTTTACTTAGGACTGGTGTTTTTGCTCGCCGCCGAAAGCCGCCGTCCTAACAAAACCAGCGCTCCCGCTCGAGACTTCCTCCCGTTTTACCTTGGACTTGCGCGCTAGTCTTTCTCTCATCGGCGCCGCCCCCAGCAAAAACAACGCTCCCGCTCGAGGCTTCCTCCCTTTTTTACTCAAGGCGGCGCTCCTCCTCGCCGCCGAAAACCGCCGCCCCGACAAAACCAGCGCTCCCGCCCGAGACTGCCTTCCGTTGTGCGCTGGACTGGCGCCCAACTCTCTTGAATTGGCGCCGCTCCCAGCAAGAACAACGCTCCCGCTCGATGCTTCCCCCCTTTTTCCTGAAGCCGGTGCTGTTCCTCGCCGCCGACAACCCCCGTCCCAACAAAACCACGGCTCCCGCTCGATGCTTCCTCCCTTCTTGCTCAAGGCGGTGTTCCTCCTCGCCGCCGAAAGCCGCCGCCCCGACAAAACCAGCTCTCCCACCCGAGACGTCCGTCCGTTTTACGCTGGACTTGCGCCCTACTCTCTTTTGAATTGGCGCCGCTCCCAGCAAGAACAACGCTCCCGCTCGAGATTTCCTTTCTTTTTCCTCGGGACGGTGCTGTTCCTCGCCGCCGACAGCCCCCGTCCCGATAAAACCACGGCTCCCGCTCGATGCTTCCTCCCTTCTTGCTCAAGGTGGTGTTTTTCCTCGCTTCCGAGAGCCGCCGTCCCAACATAACCAGCGTTCCCGCTCGAGACTTCGTTTTGTTTTACGCTGGACTAGCGCCCTACTCTCTTCAGCATTTAACAACAACAACAACAGTAGCCCTGCTCGAGACTTTCTCACTTTCTATTCAGGGCCAGGCCCTTGCCTCACCGCCGACAGCCCCCATCCCCACCAAGGCAATCCTGTCGTTCGATACTTCCTCGTGCTTTACCCTTCGCTCGGGTTCCACTGGCGGTCTCGCATCGGCGCAGCAAGGCGCGGGCATGTGTTTTCGAGGCGGGATATGTTGAATTTCCTCGGAGGTGTTTGCAAGACCTCATTGGGCGGGATATCTGGGAATGGGAATAACAGACCCCGCTATAGAACAAGAGTCCCCCATTACGTGGATGGTTATCATGATGGTCGCATGCTTCGTGTGGAAACATCGCGCATGAGGGTACATTGATGGTTGTTGTTGTTGCTGTTGCTACTGCTGCTGCTGTTGTTGTTGTTGTTGTGCTGGTGGTGGTGGTGGTGGTGGTGGTTGTGGTTGTGGTTGTGGTTGTGGTTGTTGTTAATGTTGTTGTTGTTGTTGTTGTTGTTGTTGTTGTTGTTGTTGTTGTCGTTGTTGTTGTTGCTGTTGTTGTTGTTGTTGTTGTTGTTGTTGTTGTTGTTGTTGGTCGTAATTTTTTTTGGGTTCTAAGAGCATTTCGTGGTAGTCCTACAGGAAAACTGGGACGGTCGGTCCCTGCTCCACATGCCGCCACCTTGCCTAGGTCGTGCCTCTTCGAGGCCCTTCGGTGTCTCTCTGCTGGGGCCTCCTGGAGGCCTCCTCTGGGGGCCTCCCGGAGGTATCCTGCGACGACGACGACGACGACGACGACGACGACGACGACGACGACGACGACGACGACGACGACGACGACGACGACGACGGCTCGCAGCACGTTCAGTCATGGCGCTGAAGCATGGACCGCTTAGTCAGGATGGACTCTGGCTTTCGAGCCGTTTCCCCAATCTACAGTGGGAGCCCGTGCCAAAGAAGCACCCTGCTCGCCTCTAGGGTGCCCTGGGCTTCTCTTGCGCTTCGAGGGTTCTGCGATGGCAAGCGTGACGTTCCCAAGCCAAAAGTGAAGGGACGTCCTGGGGTCTCAGGGTTGGGTTTCTAGTGGAAGGTTTCTTGTGGTCGAGCCCCCTACTGTGGGCTGGGGGAGCTTGTTCGTGGACGAGCCTCGCCGTGGCCAAAACGAGCAGCTTCGCTCTCGATCTGGCCGCCGACGAGCCGTCGGGCGGCGCGGCGTGGGTGGTTGCGGCTGTGGCCGGCGGCTGCAGCCGCAACCAACCACGACCGCCCACGGGGAGAGGTATGATGTGTACTCCTCCTCCTCCTCCTCCTCCTCCTCCTCCTCCTCTCCTCCTCCTCCTCCTCCTCCTGTTACTAAACTCCGAACTCTGGGTTCCTGAATAAGCGAGGGGGGGTACCCCCGACAGGGGTCAGCCTCGCATCGTCGTCGCGCCGCGACGGGGGTCGGAAAGCCTTCGGCGCGCGGCGGCTGTCCGCGACGGGGGTCGATGTGGGGCTGTCGGCGGGGGTGACGCCCCCCGGCGCTGATTAAGAAACTCGGAGTAGGCTTTGTGGTGTTATATGCGCGGCGTAAGCTAGGGGCGACAGCGAAGCGGCAACGTGGCGAAGCCTCGCTGGACCCACCCACTGTACAAGGCGGCAACGAGGCAAAACCTCGCTGGGCTACGAACCCAGCGCACGAGGCGGCAGCGAGGCGGCAACGGGCGGCAACATGGCAAAACTTCGCCGGACCACCGACCCAACGCTCGAGGCGGCAACGCCAATCATCCAGCTCCCGTGTTGCTAATAATTGGTGGTGGTAGGGGGGGGGGGGCCATGCTAGAAACACCCTGCTTGCCTACAGGGTGCCCTGGGTTCCTTGGGTCTCGATGGCTTTGCGGTGGAAGGCGCGGCGTTCCCACACCAAACGTCAGTGGACGTCCTGGGGTCTCAGGGTTGGGCTTCTTGTGGAAGGTTTCTTGTGGACTGGCCTCCGCTGTAGAAGGGGGAGGGGCGGGCGTGCGGCTCGGAGCAGGCGCGAGGCGCAGGCACCCTGTTTTGTGCTCCCCTTCCCTGGGCTGGTGTGATATGCTCCACTGCGCAGGGAGGCGGCTCGGGGCTTCTCCTGGGATTGCGCTGCAGAGCGGGCGTGGCCCCGCAGGGTTCTCGAAGGATGGGCCGAGAAGATAGGTCGAGCAGAGTACAGTCGGGGCCCTGAAGAAGGAACCCTTTTCGTTGGGGAGGGGCTCGGTGCTCCTTAGTTGTTTTGCAGTTTGCCTCAGATTTTCCTGATGTTTTCGATGGGAAATCGAAGTTTAACTCATGGAAACAAGGGGCCTCGTTCCTTATCTAGGGTGCCTTAGGTCAACGCCTCGACTGTACGGGCTGGACCTAAACGCTGTTTTGCTGGACTTCGGCTGTGCTCTGTTTTTCGTTTCGGCAGGGATGTACATGAAAAAAGGTAGATCAAAGCGACAACAAAACGAAAACAATACGGAAAACAACGTTCAGGTCCAGCCCTGGAAGAGTACACGGCACATGCGGTCCCGTATAGTCCTTGCGTGTTCATGCCCAGGCGTGAGCGATCGGGGTCGTTCAGGGCCGGTCGCGTCTTGAACAGGTCTTCGCTTCGCCTCTTCCCCCTCTCCTTGCCGCTCTTCCTCTCTCCCCTCGCCTCCACTCTCCTCCGTCGTCTCCTTGCTTTTTCCATCACCTCCCCTTGTCCCCCCTGCTTCCCCTCCCCTTCCCTCTCCTCCACCTCACCTCCCTTCCCCTCGTCCCCCCCCCCGCCCCTCCCCACGCCTGCCTTCCTCCCCGCGCCCCCTCCTGCCCCCTCCCCTTTCCCTCCTCCCCTTTCCCTCCCCTTTCCCTCCCCTTTCCCTCCTCTTTCCCTCCCCTCCTCCCCTCTCCTCCCCTCCTCTCCTCTCCCCTTCCCTTCCCTTCCCCCCCTCCCCTCCCCTCCTCTGCCCTGCCCTTCCCCTCCCCCCTTCCCCTCTTCCACGGGGGCGACGTGAACGAGCGCCGCAGGCAGCCGCAGCCGGTGAGAAGAGGGCCGACGCCAGCATCGGCAACGCCAGCGATGCCGCTCCCGCGCCGCCGGCAGCCGCGGCCACGGAGAAGAAGGACCAGCCAGCCGAATTCGAGGGGCAGCCCACGGCATGAACGCGAGAGCTCGGAGGTCAGCCGCGCGCGCGCGGGTTTCTTCTTGGGTTGGCCCTGGGCCTTCTCCCCTCGCGTGCGAAGCTGTGTGTGTGTGTGTGTGTGCTAGGCCTTTTCCCCACTCGACAGGCTGGGCTTGTTAGATGTAAGTCGGGCCTGTCCCTGTACCAGGAGGAATCTTCAAAAGTAGAAGAAATATAGTCAGGGGCTGATTTTTTGACCATTTTGGGCAATTTTGGAATGTCAGTTGACTTATTTCTCGTCCAAAATCTGCCTGTGGGGGGACATGCCCGACCTAATGTTAGATTTGAAAGCTCCCGTCTGCCAACCCTGCATGCCGCGGTCGCCAGACTTCACAGGATCCCGAGTATCCCTGAGTATCCCGCCTCGCGTCCCCTCCGGATGACGACACCTCGCCGCGGTCGCCAGATCCCGCAGGATCCCGAATGTCCCCGAGTGTCCCGCCTCGCGTCCTCGACGGATGACGACACCCTGCATACCAGGCAGCCCCGAAGGGGGAGGCTTCACGGCGTCACGCCGTCCAGGCGTCTCGACGCATTCACAGGTATGAATAATCGACATCAAGAGCACACTGCAATCATTTGCACACATAATATCATAAGAACGCTCTCCTGACATAGCAGAGCATGATATTGTGTACCATAACAGAACATACAACAATGACCCGGGTATAGCAAACCACAGCATACCAGAACATGACACCTATCATACCATGACGCATCAAGCCATCACTACGCATCGCAGGACATTTATACCATAACATACGAACTCATATTATGACAGGGTGGGCCATAACGTAGTACATCATAGGTGTGCCATAACCTACCATTCACTCTGTGTTCTACGACCGCTACCACAGTGACAACGCATTTATTTTAACACAGCCATGATGCACAATTGAATTACCATCCCATGACTTAACATATCATGCCGCAACACACACTTATGAGCCGAACATGGTGTAACACACCATGCCATAACACACCATGCCACACCTCACCATACTATGACATGACACATCATTACCAAACACCTCATCACATTCCATACTGTACCATACCATGACATTATCAACCAAAATGTGACGGAACGGGGCATGCTCGAGTCCAACATAACATGACACACTACACCATACTTGTTCCACCCCTGCTACCATTACGACAACGCATATAACATAGCATGCCACAATTGACCATGCGTATCTTAACATACCAGAGCGTAGCATAGTATAACGAGCAGCATCTGGTGTAACACATCGCCACGTATCATACCACAACTGAACATACCGTAGCTTGCCGGAACATGCTATATTGTGACACTGCATCGCATATTGTGACGGGCCGCACCATAGTATACCCTGACATAACCGAAGTCATCACAACGTATCTTATGTCAATCCAGGTACCACTGCGGCATTGTCTCCAGTGTATTCTACGAGGATATAACATAACGGACTCGTCGACAACATAACTCATAACTCAGCACAGAAGAATCCAACAGAAGCAGAACTCAGACCGTGCCGCAGAACATAACATACACCAGATACACACGCATTATATGCTATGTGTCACATGCATCAAGGAGATGCCCATGTCTGACAAAGACGAACCATAACAGACGATAGCTGCCTGTCTAACTGCGATGGAAGCGTGATCAATTTTGTAAAACAGAGCACAGCTGGAGTTCAATACCCGAATATCAGTGCGCAGCACAGTACATTCCAGGCAGTAAGATTGTAACTATGACTGCAATGCCAGAGTGTCATAGAACACTTCTGCTTTAAACAGACAAGGAGATACCATATCCGAGCACGGACGAACACCACATACCAGAATTCGACATATGCAATTACCTTCGATAACCTTGTAAGTTTGAGCAGTGTATCATCTAATACCGTTGTCCGTAAGGCAACATACCAGGGCAGAGTTCAGTTTATCGATCTGTTATGACGTTATAGTATAACATATCCCAGCATACCATTGCGGAATACAATATGTTCACGTATCCCAGAAGCGAACATATCTGAATCTAAGCACGAGCAGCCGATTACCGGCGTTTTATCCAACGTGACTTGCGCGCAGAAGTCATGCTGGCTGCAGGAGCCAGAGGAGCCGCAACGACCCATTTGACGAAGTATCGAACATGACAGGCATTAGACGTATCGCCGGCCCGTCGAGAACATAACATATTCAATAGAGTGTATTTCAGTAAAGCATCACTTACCAGATCCAAGCTGAAGACTGTATATTGCAGCAGCTGCTGATCAATGGCGCCCTATCAAACGCGACATGCGAGCCGACCTAAGGCTTGCCACAGGAGTCAGCAACAACTGATCATAACATAATGTAGCCGAACATGAGAATGTAGCAGCGACCTCAAACGCCCCAGGTTTCGATGGAGATCGCTTGAAACACAATCATTTGGTTGTGTGCCTCTGCGGCCGCAGCGGGCCGGGCTAAGCGGACCGGAGAGGTTGAGGCTGGATAGGCCGTCTCTGCCCTCGAGTCTCGATGATCGAGGCTCTTGCGCGCTCCTGGCCTCCTCGAGCCTTTTGCCCCTCTTCCTCCTTCCTCTCCTCGCTCCTCTCCCACACTCTCCTCTCCTCTCCTCTTTCCCCTTTCCCTCCCCCTCCTCTCCCCGTCCTCGTGTCCCTCCTGCTCCTCCTCTCCCGTTCTCGCTCCGCACACTCCTCCTCCGTGTCCTGCTCCTCCCTTCTGCTCCTTCTCGTGCTCCCCCCCTCCCCTGAGCCTGAGGTAGTGCGATGGGGGTGCGGGAGAGTGGGATTGGGTGGTAGCGGGGAGGGAGCGGGGAGGGAGTGAGGAGGGGAGGGGATTTTCGGGTTTCGACGCTGATTCGGCCCTGGGCTGGTCAGCATAGAGATGGCGCGCACCCAGAAGGCACGGCAATTATATTCAGCGAACACATCACAGAGGCTGCACGGGCACCTAGGGAGCTCTGAGAGCAGTGGATCTCCCCCCTTTGAGACCATCTCCGCCGAAGCATCCCTGCCCTCAAACAAGCTGCTGGGCCGGCATCGGGCCTCATACGGGAGCGACCAGTGCGCCTCGGGCACGTCCTTTCCGTGAGGGAGAGGGAGTGAGGGAAGGGAGGGAGGAACAAGACTCAAAGGAACCGAGAATGAGTTAGTGAGTTCAGGGCACAGATCGACAACCTCTGGTCTCTGTAGCAACAAACCGTCCTGACATCATCGCGGGAGGGAGGGAGATAAGGACGGGTCGTGAAATCGACCTCGTCTTCGTCTGGCGGTAGGAAGGAGGTAGAGTTCACACCCCGCGGCAGTTCAGCGAGTGCCTTGAACTGGGGAGTGTCGTGATCTCGACGTAGTCTTCGACCGCGCGGCAGGGAGGAGGACGAGGAGGAAGAGGAGGAGGAGGAGGAATAATAATAAGAAGATGCAGAAGAGGAGTAATAATAAGCGGAATCATACTATTAATACTCATAAGAATATTACGCACACGTGATGATAATAAGCATGCTGATGCTACTACGAGTAATAAGAATAAACATAACCATACCCACAAAAGGAAGACTCATAATAACATCCATGATAATAGTATTACGAATAGTGATAACACTACTACCAATAATAATGTTATTACTGCTAATAAGAAAACTTGTAATACTATGAATCAGACTGCGAACGCGACGAATACTAATGCTAATAATGATCGTAACACTTCGAACACTACACGTAGTAATAATCAAACCAATAATACGAATACCAGTACTAGTAGCAAGAACGTACTAGAACGACGACTACGAATACTATTATTAATAAGACTACTAGTAAGACTAATGCGAACAATCATGGTATCCATGATAGTAAAACTAACATTGGTGATAAGACGAATACTAATAATATTAATACCAACAAGAAGAATAACACTACTAACGATACGACTCATAATAATATTCCTACTAAGAGTGATAATGATAAGAAGGGGAGGATGAGGAGGGGAGTGGAGGCGGAGGTGGAGGTGGAGGTGGAGGAGGAGGAGGAAGAGGAGGGGGCGGAGGAGGAGGAGTAGGAGGAGGAGGAGGAGGAGCAGGAGGAGGAGGAGGAGGAGGAACAGCAGGAGGAGGAGGAGGAGGAGGAGGAGGAGGAGGAGGAGAGGGAGGGAGAACATGAGGACGATGAGGAGAAGGCTTACTGAGGCCTGTGCGTTGCTGTCAAAAAAGATGAGGAGAAGGCTTCTTGGGGCCCTCTTGGGGACCTCCCCGGAGCATCCTGGGGGAGCCTTTTGGGGCATCTCGGGGGCCTCCTGGGGCCTCTTGGGGGCCTCTTGTGGCCTCTTGGGCCGTCTTAGGGAGGCTCTTGGCCCTTTTAACGCCTTCGGAGGTGGAGTTTCCTTGGGCCGACTCGGGGCCTGCTTGGGGGCCCCATGGACTGTCTTGGATCTACCTTGGAGGCCCCTTGGGCCGTCTTGGGCGGTCGGAGAACGCAAACAGGCGAGAACCGTAACATTCCTCAAACGCCACAGGGAAATGATGGTATTCGGCCTCCTCGGGCTCTCCTGGAGGGCCTCTTGGGGCCCTCTTGGGCCGTCTTGGGGGCCTGATGGGCCTTCTTGGGCCGTCTTGGGGGTTTTATGGGCCGTCTTGAGGCTGTCTTCAGGGCCTCCTGAGCCGTCCTGTGCCATCTTGAGCCGTTTTGGCGTCGTCGTGGTTGTCTTGGAAGCCTCCTGGAGGCCATCTTGGCCGCCTGGAGGCTCTAAAGAGCGCCAGGGAGCAATTTCGGGAGATTCGATCTCAGGACCACGCGCGCGGTGTAGAGGAGGAGGAGGTGGAGGAGGAGGAGGAGGAGGAGGAAGAGAAGGAAGATAAGGAGGAGGAGGCGGAGGAAAAGGAGGAGGACACAGAAAAACCTTGCAGACCACAGGCACGCATTCTTACACGCCCACTCCGTGCATGCACTCTGGCGGATCGCTTCTCGCCCTGGAAGTGATATCCCGCCCCAAGACTCCTCAGTGTGGGACCCCACCAGGTTTCCAACAAGACCCCAATCGGACTCAAATGGGAGCCCAAGAGGGTTGCAGCATGAACCCAGTGAGATCCCAATTGGATTCAATGGTTTCGATCGTATCTTTTGTGTTGTTTGATGGTGTTCTATCTTATGTTTCGATCGTCTCAGGGCTGCTGGACTGTCGGCGGGGCCTTTCGAAGAGGCCGTCTTGAGGCCTCTCTTGGGCTGTCGTTCTCCTCTTACTCCCACTGCCTCCCCGTGGAACGATTTGATTCATTAATTCGTCGCGGCGCCAGCGATATCGCTCGGCGTTCCTCCCCCCTAGGAAATTAATCGATTACTTGGAGTGCTACAGATGACGCCAGTGGGATCGATACGCGTTTCCCACGGTAACTTGAGATGTCTTCCTATGACGAATTTGCCGTCCCGATCTGCCGATCAGCTGCGAGCCGCCAGTCTTGTGGAGGAGGAGGGATCACGAGTGTAAACCCAAGACTCATCAGCGATGTTGAATTATACCCTCCCTCCAAAATTCCTCCTTATAGGCCCCATACAGGGAGTCATTTCCACTGGGGGATTGTTCAGTTGGGGTACAATAGCGTGCACATCTTGAAGCGCGCCTGGACACCAGTTTCAGGACTTTCACGCCACGGGTTACCTGACTGTTATGTCTTGGCGATCCTGAATCGTGCCAGAACACCATTCCTGGGACTTCAACACCGCGGATCAACGTAACTGGTGCACCCTGGCAATCCTGAACCGTTTCCCAAATACCGTTTCTGGTACGGTAGCCATGAGAATCAGTGGAATTTTTGCACATGTTCAAAACGAATGTGCGCGGCGCTATGGCGAGAGCCACATGTTTAAAGGAACCGTCTTCAATCCGTGAAGTTTTGGCAGTTTCTAAGGACGATTGCGCGCGGCGCTAAGGCGATAGCCACATTTTGGAAACGAATCGCCCTTAACCCGTGAAGGTTTGACACATTTAATGCGAATTTGCATTGCGCGAGGGCGAGAGCCTCATTTTGAAAACGACCCGCCCTCCATTTGTGAAACTTTTTTCGAACTTTTAACACGAACGTGCGCAGCGCTAAGACGAGAGCTACATTTTGAAAATCACCCGCCCTCAACCTGCGAAGTTGTTGCAATGATGTTTTAAACGAACGCGCGCGGCGCTGAGGCGAGAGCCACGTGTCGAAAGCCACCCGCCCTCCGTCTGTGAAGCGGCTGTCCATGTCTAAGCGTCAGGGTCACAATTGGTGAGGAAGTCTCAGGCGAAACGCCCGGCCCGCCCTTTCGACCGGCTTCGAGGTGCGACAAGGATGAGTGATCTATGTGTATAAGGAAACTGAACGGAGGAGGGAGAAGGAGGGGCTGCCCCTCCCTGGGGCGCCACCTCCGCCCTCTCCCCTCTGCCTCTCTCCCTCCTCCTCGCTCCTCCCTCCTGCTCCTCCCTCCCCATCTCCTCCCTCCTCCCTCCCTCCTCCCCTCCTCCTCCTCCTCCTCCTCCTCCTCCTTCTCCTCCCTTCTGCATCCTCCTGCCTCCTGCTCCTCTTCCTCTTCGTCCCTCCTCCTCCTCCTCCTCCTCCTCCTCCTCCTGCTGCGTTAGACTTTGCACCATCTCTGGTATGCTGAACCGTAGCGCCAATGACGGGGTACACGGGAAGCAGACCATATGATGACTCCTCCTCCTTCCCCTCCCCGGCTCCCCCCCCCCCTCCTTGAGCTGCCCGGCTCGACCGGCCGAGGATGAGGCGGCGGCGGCGCCCGCGAACGCCAGCAGGGAGCCCACCCCCCCTGAGCAGTGGCAGGTGCAGGTCGGCCACGCGCAGAGGGGGGCATGGGGGAGGGGGGAAGGCTTCTACGAAGCCTTCCCCACCCTACCCTCTTGTGCGCGCCGCCAAGCATGGGATGGAGGGGGGGGAAGCCTCTAGAGAGTTGTGGCTCGGCGCTGCCGCGCTCGCTGGCCCTGCTGGGGGCGGCGGGGCCAGGGGGAAGAGGAGGGAGGGAGCGAGGGGAAGGGGTTCGTGGGAGGGAGCAAAGTGGGGCAAAGCCCCATTCTGCCGCAGTTTACACGAAGGCGCTATGTTCCGCCTGAGTTCACCTGCCGCGTGCGGGGGCGGATGGGTTCGAGAGAGCCGTGCCTCGGCGCCGCCTTGCTCCCCGGCGGGCCAGCCGAAAGCATGGTGCTCCGCCACATTTATGTCTGTCTGTCTGTCTGTCTGTCTGTTTGTCTGTCTGGCTGGCTGGCTGGCTGGCTGGCTGGCTGGCTGGCTGGCTGGCTGGCTGGCTGGCTGGCTGGAGGGCTGTATGTATGTATGTATGTATGTATGTATGTATGCATGCATGCATGCATGCATGCA